GAACGTTTGTTGTTGCGTTTACAACAGTTGCTGTGTTTGCACCTTTGGTCAGTTTTAAGAGGATTGGTTAGTTTTTTTTTCACTAATTCAAGTAAAAAAATAATGACTGGTGAATTACTATTAGCTGCTCACTTGTTAAATTGCAAATCAATGAAAATGACTGGCAATAAATTAGTAAACAGTGACAGCAAAATCACCGAAGCACTGTGATTCATGTTTAGGAATGAACTTTCTAAGTTCTAGTTTTGACTACCAATGGCTGTTTGTTACAAATGCTGTGGGGTTGTGATAAAGGTTTCTGTCATTTCAAATTACTTGAACAGTAGGTAGGAAGGTTTTGAAAAATCATATGTAAGTCTAAGTTTTCAGTAAGTAAAAATATAAAATTCAACACTATGCTATATAAGAAAAAAACCTATAATTTAACCTGAAAACAGGATTTGAATAAATGTAGAAAGAAGCATGACTAAGAAGATTCCATATCAAACTAGAGATGTAGTCCAATTACTAATGCAAATTTTACTTAGTTGGATAATACTAAGCATGAATCACCTTACTAAAATGTAATGTGTGACATAACAACTTAAGGTGGGACCCACTTGTAATTGTGTATAAAGGCACTATATTTGTAACATAGTTGCATATCCAACAATATAATATCATAGATTTCCCAATTTCAGCCTTTTGTCACCAAGTTTCTATATATAAAAAAAAATTCAATCCGGGAACAAAATAGTAGATACGAAATATGAGAACTATTGTAGCATGCAATTAATAGGTATTCTAGATTTCCAACATCGAAAATGGGTGAAATGAAATATAACCGATTGCCATTATTGTTGTTTAGATTGTTTGAAACAAGGTAGGGTCTATTTTTTTTTCTTAGATTTTCGGAATAAATTACATAAATATGATTTTAACACCATTTATATAAGAAATTGATATTATTTAATTCAAAATTTTAGATTAATATATCTGTGGGTGTTGCAGATTCATTGAAATTCACGTCTGCATTATCAGTTGGGCTAGCAGTAGTTTTTCTAGTGATTGCTGTTGGAATCTCAGTCTTCAAGATCATAGTCGGAGGCATTGGAATGCCCAGACTCTTTCCAATCATAACTGATATGGCATCAATTTTGGAACTGTTCACTGTAGTTCCTGTTCTTGTGACTGCCTATATCTGCCACCCCAATGGTATGAGAATCTTTTTAGGCCTTTCTGCAAATTTCATTTCCCTTTTCTTAATGTTCTTATGAAGATCATACATATATAACTATAAGCCAGTTAATAATTTGCTCAAAAAATGTTGAGGTCCACCTGACAGGTAGAAATTCTGATACAAAACATCATTGTTGTTTTTGTCTGTTTCTGGAAGCACAACATGACTTCAAATTACCTATTCATGTTATATTCATTTCTTTTCAATAAAATGATGAATGACAATGCACATTTTGCTTCCTAACATTAGATTATTTGAGTAATCTAACCATAATCATGGCCACATAGCAGGTGATGAAAAAACAGTTATATAATTATATTATGTATATATAATTGATTGTTTTTGTTTTCTGGATATATAATTGATTTTAAAATATTTTTTAATATTTAAGAAATTGTTACAACCGATTTTACACATTGACAATTGGGCCATATCTAATTAAAATTGACTTTTTTTTAAGTTTTTTCCCCAAAATCAATTATTAATTTAAGATATATAATCAGTTATATACCGATTTTATGATAATACAAAATAAATTTATAATTAAAAATTATATATTAAAATAAAAAATTACTAAAATTTATATTCAAGTTATGAAAAACAATTATAAAAATAAATATTTGATATTAACTTTTATAACGTTACAATCGCTTAGTATTTTAGGGTAATCATTGATAAGTAATTTTTATTTTGTAAATAATAAAATCAATATTGTGTTGTATTAATGAACATATATTTTGTGTTAAAAGGTGAGAAGTAAATTAGAAAATTCAATTTTTTTTCTTGAAAAATATCAAATATAATAAGATATTTTATAGGTGTTTTATGAGAGATATAGACTCTCTTCAAGTTTCACTTATTAAAATTTTACTATAACATATTTTACACCTTTCTTAATTAAAAACTTCCTAAACTTTTTAGATCTTACTTATAAAAATTTCAGAGTCATTCTTTACTCTTAACATTTGAAACTCTTCAAACTTTAGTGGCTTTCGGAAGATATCTGCATTTCACCATGTTAAGAATAGTTCTTTTTTTCTTTCGAACTCCAATTTTTGTGTGATCTAGGAACAGCCAATGGACAATGAATTCCATGAGTTGTGCAAAAATTCAAGAGTCATTCTACAAACTTCTATATTTCAAATTACAATAACACTCTGATGGTTGCATTGCATGCACTGTTGTTGCAGTACACCCCATAGACAATGAACTGGAGGACTGCTCTCAGATGCATGGCGTTGTACGTACATCCCTTGCTCTGAGTGCTTCAGTGTACTTGCTGACAAGCTTCTTTGGGTTCCTCCTATTTGGTGAAGCAACACTTGATGATGTGCTTGCAAATTTTGACACTGATCTTGGAATTCCTTTGGGTTCTGTGCTCAATGATGCAGTTCGTTTCAGCTATGCTGCACATCTCGTGCTTGTATTTCCAGTTGTCTTCTATGGAATGCGTGTCAACCTAGATTCTCTTTTATTTCCATCATCCAGGCCTTTGTCTCAAGATAACATTAGATTTGCTTCAATTACTGTTACACTTGTTGCTGTTATCTTCCTTGGAGCAAATTTCATACCCAGCATTTGGGATATTTTCCAGTTTACTGGAGCAACAGCTGCTGTTTGCATAGCATTCATATTTCCAGCTGCCATCATTCTACGGTGAGTTTCATACCCAAATTCTCTTATTTTCTGTTCCACTCCAATCGATATACTTATATGAAAAAGCATAACACCATATTAGAAATACATGTTTGATTATGATTTTGTTCTTTTAACTTGCATAGAGGAGATAACTAGCTTAGTATCAACCTACTTTTTATGATTATATCTTCCAATTTTAGTTTTGTGTTTACCTCAATTCTATTAAGCTTTTTTTATAAATTGAAAGTTATTAGGTTAGACATTATACATCGATAAGATATAAGACAATTGAACTACACTTAAAATCTATTTTTTAATTTTCTATTTGTATATTATATTTTTACTAAGATATAAAATCTTCCTTACACCCAGTTATTGGAATTGAACATATTATCATTTGTGTTAAATTGTGATATAAATATATATCTAGAAAGTTCAAACAAATTTATTTTTTCTACAAGGAATGGTTGTTGCAATTTTTTTCAATAATTGATGCTACAAATGTCAAAGAGGCATGGAGTACAATACAAAAGGAGTATCGAGTAAGAGTGGTAAAATAGGTCTTAGACATATGAATCAACCCGCCAGCTCCGAATTAGTGTTTTCAATATGTTAAGATAGTACTGTTTTTTTTTTTTTTAATTTTACTTTATTTTTAATGACCAACAATAAAGTAAATAATTTAATAAACTATTTACACTTAAATAACTTCTCGATTTTTAAGCATGTTAGATGTAATATTAGCAGTTGATTTTCTCATCAGCACTTGATATTGATTATTTAGTTTTTAAAGTGAGTGGCTCACTTTAGAAGAGTAGGTTCTTTATTGAAAAGTTCTTTTTAGTTGTTTATTTGTTGTGTCTAACAGAAAAATGATTTGATATATTCTATTGCTGAAAATTAATTAACAATTATCGCTTTGTATTAATGTTTCAATTTCAGGGATCGACACAGCATAGCAACTAAAAGGGACAAGATTCTATCAGTCTTTATGATATTCTTGGCTGTCTTGTCAAATGCTGTGGCTTTATACAGTGATACTTATGCCTTGATCAAGAAGAACAAAACTTATACATGAATTCTTTTTTTCTTGAAACTTTCTTTGAAGCTCATAGCACAAGCACATTCATACTTTCACAAGGGTTGATCATGGAATAAGCCACTAAGTGCTGGTAACATGTTCAAAAGTGTGTAAATAAGAGTTTTAATTAATGATCTTCAAGTTTAAAGGATTTTGCAAAATCAGTCTATATAAAATGACTGACTATTTTTTTTTCTCTAAGTCAGTTTTTATTTAATAAATACTTTATACCGGTTATTGTAGTTTGATCTTTGTTGTTGTAAATAGTTTACTTTTTGTGACTCTATTTCCTGGGCTTCATCTATCCAAATATAAAATTCATATTTGAGCTTATGTACACGAGCTTCCATTTGTATCTTAGTATAGTTTTTGTGTTTTTCTCTCCCATGTGGTTCCAAACACAGCGTTTGAATTTGGTTTAAAGTCAAGCCAAACACATGCTACAAGAACACTTAACGTGTCAGGTAAACTTTGGTATAAGTTAAGATCAAACTTTAACATAAAGATTATCGAAATGTCACGTTTTATGTTTCAAGAACTAAATTAGTTTAAAGTAAAAATATATCAGCACCTAAAACTTAGGATCATAGGGGATTTGGTCTTAGCCACTCGAAAAGTTTATTTCGATACCGAAGTTTCTCACAAATGATACAACTTTTTCTTTTAATATTTCATTAAAAACTGATAGANCCTTACTAAAATGTAATGTGTGACATAACAACTTAAGGTGGGACCCACTTGTAATTGTGTATAAAGGCACTATATTTGTAACATAGTTGCATATCCAACAATATAATAACATAGATTTCCCAATTTCAGCCTTTTGTCACCAAGTTTCTATATAAAAAAAAAAATTCAATTCGGGGACAAAATAGTAGATACGAAATATGAGAACTATTGTAGCATGCAATTAATAGGTATTCTAGATTTCCAACATCGAAAATGGGTGAAATGAAATATAACCGATTGCCATTATTGTTATTTTTCTCGGAATAAATTACATAAATATGATTTTAACACCATTTATATAAGAAATTTATATTATTTAATTCAAAATTTTAGATGAATATATCTGTGGGTGTTGCAGATTCATTGAAATTCACGTCTGCATTATCAGTTGGGCTAGCAGTAGTTTTTCTAGTGATTGCTGTTGGAATCTCAGTCTTCAAGATCATAGTCGGAGGCATTGGAATGCCCAGACTCTTTCCAATCATAACTGATATGGCATCAATTTTGGAACTGTTCACTGTAGTTCCTGTTCTTGTGACTGCCTATATCTGCCACCCCAATGGTATGAGAATCTTTTTAGGCCTTTCTGCAAATTTCATTTCCCTTTTCTTAATGTTCTTATGAAGATCATACATATATAACTATAAGCCAGTTAATAATTTGCTCAAAAAATGTTGAGGTCCACCTGACAGGTAGAAATTCTGAAACAAAACATCATTGTTGTTTTTGTCTGTTTCTGGAAGCACAACATGACTTCAAATTACCTATTCATGTTATATTCATTTCTTTTCAATAAAATGATGAATGACAATGCACATTTTGCTTCCTAACATTAGATTATTTGAGTAATCTAACCATAATCATGGCCACATAGCAGGTGATGAAAAAACAGTTATATAATTATATTATGTATATATAATTGATTGTTTTTGTTTTCTGGATATATAATTGATTTTAAAATATTTTTTAATATTTAAGAAATTGTTACAACCGATTTTACACATTGACAATTGGGCCATATCTAATTAAAATTGACTTTTTTTTAAGTTTTTTCCCCAAAATCAATTATTAATTTAAGATATATAATCAGTTATATACCGATTTTATGATAATACAAAATAAATTTATAATTAAAAATTATATATTAAAATAAAAAATTACTAAAATTTATATTCAAGTTATGAAAAACAATTATAAAAATAAATATTTGATATTAACTTTTATAACGTTACAATCGCTTAGTATTTTAGGGTAATAATTGATAAGTAATTTTTATTTTGTAAATAATAAAATCAATATTGTGTTGTATTAATGAACATATATTTTGTGTTAAAAGGTGAGAAGTAAATTAGAAAATTCAATTTTTTTTCTTGAAAAATATCAAATATAATAAGATATTTTATAGGTGTTTTATGAGAGATATAGACTCTCTTCAAGTTTCACTTATTAAAATTTTACTATAACATATTTTACACCTTTCTTAATTAAAAACTTCCTAAACTTTTTAGATCTTACTTATAAAAATTTCAGAGTCATTCTTTACTCTTAACATTTGAAACTCTTCAAACTTTAGTGGCTTTCGGAAGATATCTGCATTTCACCATGTTAAGAATAGTTCTTTTTTTCTTTCGAACTCCAATTTTTGTGTGATCTAGGAACAGCCAATGGACAATGAATTCCATGAGTTGTGCAAAAATTCAAGAGTCATTCTACAAACTTCTATATTTCAAATTACAATAACACTCTGATGGTTGCATTGCATGCACTGTTGTTGCAGTACACCCCATAGACAATGAACTGGAGGACTGCTCTCAGATGCATGGCGTTGTACGTACATCCCTTGCTCTGAGTGCTTCAGTGTACTTGCTGACAAGCTTCTTTGGGTTCCTCCTATTTGGTGAAGCAACACTTGATGATGTGCTTGCAAATTTTGACACTGATCTTGGAATTCCTTTGGGTTCTGTGCTCAATGATGCAGTTCGTTTCAGCTATGCTGCACATCTCGTGCTTGTATTTCCAGTTGTCTTCTATGGAATGCGTGTCAACCTAGATTCTCTTTTATTTCCATCATCCAGGCCTTTGACTCAAGATAACATTAGATTTGCTTCAATTACTGTTACACTTGTTGCTGTTATCTTCCTTGGAGCAAATTTCATACCCAGCATTTGGGATATTTTCCAGTTTACTGGAGCAACAGCTGCTGTTTGCATAGCATTCATATTTCCAGCTGCCATCATTCTACGGTGAGTTTCATACCCAAATTCTCTTATTTTCTGTTCCACTCCAATCGATATACTTATATGAAAAAGCATAACACCATATTAGAAATACATGTTTGATTATGATTTTGTTCTTTTAACTTGCATAGAGGAGATAACTAGCTTAGTATCAACCTACTTTTTATGATTATATCTTCCAATTTTAGTTTTGTGTTTACCTCAATTCTATTAAGCTTTTTTTATAAATTGAAAGTTATTAGGTTAGACATTATACATCGATAAGATATAAGACAATTGAACTACACTTAAAATCTATTTTTTAATTTTCTATTTGTATATTATATTTTTACTAAGATATAAAATCTTCCTTACACCCAGTTATTGGAATTGAACATATTATCATTTGTGTTAAATTGTGATATAAATATATATCTAGAAAGTTCAAACAAATTTATTTTTTCTACAAGGAATGGTTGTTGCAATTTTTTTCAATAATTGATGCTACAAATGTCAAAGAGGCATGGAGTACAATACAAAAGGAGTATCAAGTAAGAGTGGTAAAATAGGTCTTCAATATGTTAAGATAGTACTGTTTTTTTTTTAATTTTACTTTATTTTTAATGACCAACAATAAAGTAAATAATTTAATAAACTATTTACACTTAAATAACTTCTCGATTTTTAAGCATGTTAGATGTAATATTAGCAGTTGATTTTCTCATCAGCACTTGATATTGATTATTTAGTTTTTAAAGTGAGTGGCTCACTTTAGAAGAGTAGGTTCTTTATTGAAAAGTTCTTTTTAGTTGTTTATTTGTTGTGTCTAACAGAAAAATGATTTGATATATTCTATTGCTGAAAATTAATTAACAATTATCGCTTTGTATTAATGTTTCAATTTCAGGGATCGACACAGCATAGCAACTAAAAGGGACAAGATTCTATCAGTCTTTATGATATTCTTGGCTGTCTTGTCAAATGCTGTGGCTTTATACAGTGATACTTATGCCTTGATCAAGAAGAACAAAACTTATACATGAATTCTTTTTTTCTTGAAACTTTCTTTGAAGCCCATAGCACAAGCACATTCATACTTTCACAAGGGTGGACCATGGAATAAGCCACTAAGTGCTGGTAACATGTTCAAAAGTGTGTAAATAAGAGTTTTAATTAATGATCTTCAAGTTTAAAGGATTTTGCAAAATCAGTCTATATAAAATGACTGACTATTTTTTTTTCTCTCAGTTTTTATTTAATAAATACTTTATACCGGTTATTGTAGTTTGATCTTTGTTGTTGTAAATAGTTTACTTTTTGTGACTCTATTTCCTGGGCTTCATCTATCCAAATATAAAATTCATATTTGAGCTTATGTACACGAGCTTCCATTTGTATCTTAGTATAGTTTTTGTGTTTTTCTCTCCCATGTGGTTCCAAACACAGCGTTTGAAGTTGGTTTAAAGTCAAGCCAAACACATGCTACAAGAACACTTAACGTGTCAGGTAAACTTTGGTATAAGATAAGATCAAACTTTAACATAAAGATTATCGAAATGTCACGTTTTATGTTTCAAGAACTAAATTAGTTTAAAGTAAAAATATATCAGCACCTAAAACTTAGGATCATAGGGGATTTGGTCTTAGCCACTCGAAAAGTTTATTTCGATACCGAAGTTTCTCACAAATGATACAACTTTTTCTTTTAATATTTCATTAAAAACTGATAGAATGTTGACATGTGATTGATAGAGTTTATAAATAAAACCTGCTCAAAAAACTCTTTGAGTGAACAAATAGTACTCATAGATATAGTTTGACATGTTAGTGATGCCTCTTTCTCCTTGAAATCCTTCATCCCTAATAAACCCATCTCACTCATCAGCATATTCGACCAGCAGCCCAACTATCAACCAGAGCTAAAGTCACCATTAAGCACGCAAAGATTCTTTCCATAAACTTGTGGAAAGACACCATTAAATCTCAACAATGGTTACCCTAAACCCATGTGTATATGTAAGATCTTTTTTATGTATCATTGCATCACTCAAATAATATACACCTTAAATAATTATTATAACTGGCAAACTCTTCCGTGAGGTTTAACATTTGATTGGGTTAGGTATGTCCGATATTCTTGTAATCACATTGAATTAAATGTGAGAATACATAAAAACCATAAATTCAACACGAAGTTAGCTTTAATTAACTCGTTAAAAAGAATCAAGGAAAACTAATCGATTACGTTGTTCCAAATGGATTATCCGATCTAGTGTGAATGTTTAATAACTACTGTGCAACAACTAATCAAATTATATCCAGGGTTTCTTTTATGGCAGAGTCAAATAGAAACATACTTTCGTTTCCCAATTATGCGCACTTCTCTGAATTTATGAGCCTCATAACTATAAAGATAAGAAAGGAATAAATATAAATGAAGAAAAATGGTATAGGGCAGGAAGGAACAGCTGAAAACTACATTTCAGTGTTACAATCGAAGTTAAATTATGCATGCTATTTGACAAGAAAATGATCTGTCTACAACTACACAGAATGTTACAAAACTCTCATCCCAGCCTATGTAGTATGTACAACGTCTATCCTGTAGCAATCCCTACTTTCAACTTTGGACAGAATATATACAGAAAATGAATTATACAATCACGGGTTACCAACATTGGGCACAAAAGGGACTAGCTTTTTCTGGTCCTTTCTCTTTCCTAACGCACTTCTGTCTAATACTCGACCAAGAATCAGACGAGTATTCTGCAGAGCTACCTCTCTTGGTGTCATCCCAGACTCAGTTGAACCAAATTGTCCATGTGTAAAAGCCGAGCTTAGTCCTGATCCCAAGCCATACTGTAGAGGGCCACTTCGGGCCTTGAATGAGGTTTGTGGAGCAAGCAACTTTTCTTCAGGTCCGCCAATTCCGTTCTCAAATGAACCTTGTTCATATGCATGAGTACTAGTCAATGAGCTGCAACTTTGTAGAAGGGCTTCTAACACACTTAGTGCCTCCCAACACAAAGTGCTTTCCACCAATTGGGACACAATTGCATATATATGAGGACTCTGGGTAGCGTCCATTGGTGTGTGCTGGAGGAGAGCTTTGAGCATGAGTAGAATGACACGTTGATACTCAACTGGTCCTTTTTCCAGTAGCCTTAGCAAGTGTCCAAAGGCCAAAGTTGAATGTTTTGGAAACCATTCATTACATAGAAGTGGTGAAACACAAGCCAGAAAATTATCAATACTCTTAATCTCTCCTCGAGAGTAAATCATAAATACAGTAGCTAATTCATCCAAAGATTTTGCTCGACACCAAATTGCTATATTGACAGCAACAGAGCATGCCTTTTGATATTGATGTTGGAGTGGTGAAACTGGACCTATCACTATGTCTTTACTAAGTTGAAGACAGAGCCAAGGGAGTAATCCTATGATGTGCATCAGGAGTCTTGTCTCGGCATCACCAAATATAGAATCGCATGAATGAACTGTTGTACGAGAGAGAACATCAATAGCAACACTGTGGCTGACACTCGACATAAGTCCTTTAAGAACAAGGGGCTGAACCCCTTCAAAAGCAGGTAAACTCCCCTCTTGTAGAGGTTCGTAGCCACTTTTAGATTCTGTGCGCTGAAATTCTCCTAAAACACTACTATCAAGTTCATCTCTGGGCATACTTGAAAGGAGTACATTTTCTGTTGTCCGATCACGGAAAGATAAACGGTCAATCACATGAGAGAACAGTTCTAGAACCTGGCGGTAGACATGGACAAAATCTGTGTGCATCATAGCAACACAACCCCAAAACAGCTGTGGGTAGAGTATCACCTTCTCTGGCTCCATATTCTCCACCATAACTTGCAATGTCATCAAAATTTCCATAACAAATCCCAAAACTTGAGGTACTGGATTTCCCAGACATCTATGGAGGCAGCGAAGAAGGGACACACAAGCATCACTTGTTACACTTGGTCGAAGTGCACGGTAGATCTGATGTGACCGACAGGCAAGGTGTCTTGATGTACACTCCATAGCCCATCTAAGAGCTTCTTCTCCCCAAGTTTCCCGAAGATCTCCTTGGAAGAAGATAGCATCCACCATGCTCTGAACCAGGGCAGAAAGAAGTGCTGCACTTGGAAGCTCAGTTCTGACAACTGTTGGATCTTCATTCTCCCACATCATGCTTCCTCGCTTAGATTGTACATATTTAATTAAGCTCACAACTTGCTGTTTGTTCTCCCTATCATTATTTTCCACCTCATATTGCTCTAAGTGGCGTCCTGCTAGGGAATATAATAGATTAACGAGTAAATGCTGACAATGCTCTAGTACAATGTCTTCTGAGCTATCCATTGAAACAAAGATAACGTGAAAGAGTAGAGGCAAGTATTGGCGGAAATCTTCATCATTTTCATATGCAATTTCAGCAAGAAGAATCAGAGCTATATCTGCATGCGTAAGTGAGTGCTGCTGATGACCCTGTAAGGCTGATTGAAGTTCTTTTGCATTCACAGCATGCATAGCACTCCCACCATGCAGTCCATCTTCACCTGAGTTTGGAGTGTCAACAAGATAATCCCCACTGTCTCGTGAAACATGGCGGCTCCGTAAACTCCCTGTTGAGCTTCTAACACCCATCAAGGGTCCTGACATATTAACCAAGGCTGGAAGAAGCTGTCCAGATCGCCCAGCAGTTACTGGGACTACATTCAACTCTGGAGGCATTGGACTTAATGGACCTGATACACTCCGGCCTGTCATACCTGCTGTTCTCCAGCTCAAGCTCCCACTAACATTTCTTAGTGGACCATCAAGGGAACCTCTTACAAGCAATGGGGACATGTGTGGTTGGTTATCCAAAACTGACGTCATTTGGGCCACAGCAGGACCTTGTGAGAATTCTAGCACAAAATTTGCACTAGTATCACCCTTACTTGCAACTGGCTCCATGCTATCCTCTAGTAGTCGTTGAGACAATTGGAAAACTAGGTGATCTATAGTCCGCTGAGGGCATATTCGTGCTAAATATAGACTTACCCGTTTTGCAACACTGAAGTATGTAGCAAATGCACCACTTATTTCAGTTGATGCATTTGAATCACAATCTTCAATGCCTTTTGTTATCAAGAAATCTAAAACAGGGCTGATATTCCTATTTTTGCTAGCAATTGTGCTCCAAAGCTTCTCAATTTCATCAGGAAATTGGTCTCCATGCCGCCATGTTACATAGTAGAGACTTTTTAGTAACCTTTCACTCCAGCCTTCCTTGAGTTTCCAGAAATTAAGGTTCTCAATCCAAGGAGCCATGCATGTTAAGACCTGATGTTGTGCAATTATATCAACAGCATCTAACTGCCTCTGCATAATCTCCTCACAAAGAAGTTGGCTTAATTCAGGATGATCTTTGGCAAGCTTACAGGAAAGCTTGTATTGGAATTGTTGATAGGAATCAGGAAGATTACCAACAACGGCAGCTCGATAACTTCCTGAACCCTCAATGCCATCCTCAGCCCATTCACGAACAGAAAGTGTCTCCAGCATCTGAAGTGCATCGTCACGAATTTGTCTTGATGGGTCTACCACCTTGTAAAGGATCAGACTCAATAATCTTTGTATTTCACAGTTTGGTATCTCCTGACGCATGTAGACCTCAGCCAGTACACTGAAGTATCCATCAGCTACAGAAGAATTAGAGTAGTAGCACTGCACAGATCAATTCAGTTGAATAAGCTATAATACCAGTGTGACAAAACAAACAAGCATGATCCAAAAGATTATGTAATAAATACTAATTTATATAAAAAGAAATTATCTAAAAGTGTAAATAGCTTGCAGTGCAAGTATCAATATATTATTGTTCTGTAAACAGCGTCCTCTCTGTGTGTATGTTAGGTTTCAATCAACTCTCAGCCTCCTATCAGTGTATATATATGATTATTAGATAGTCAATATTACTATTCTTCACCCTATCACGATTTGTATATGAATAGACTTCATTGCTAATTCTTTAGTTGGAGAACAATATTTCCTAGGATGCAACGCACAATATAGCATTGAAATATTACCTGATCAATACAGGAAGGAAACAAGTCCAAATTTGTAAGCAAAAGATTTTTCAAAGCCAATTTTGCTAAAGAAACACGGTGATGGCCACCCTTGATCCTGTCACGACCAGCAGCTCCTCGACCACCCTCCCCCTGGTACTTGGTATATGATGGAGTTCTAGGATCAGCTGGTGAGAAACCAAATGGAGCCCTTGGTGTAGGCTCCATAAACAAACCATTAATCCAAGATATCACACGGCCACTCATTTTCCTTGCATTGTCATCAAAACACGGTCCGTATAAAAGTGATGCTATTGCATTCATGGATGCCCACTGGATTGCCTCAACCTGTTCATTCAGTTCTTTGTCAAATGATATTTTATCCACCGAATCTTTTGATCTTGCATGTTGAGAAGACTTGTAACGATCAACTTCACGTCTATAATCACTCACACCATCTACACTCCATGTACTGCATGTATCATCAGACCAGGAGAGAAGAAGATCAAAGAGTCGCTTTCTAGTTCTAACATCAAATTTCTCAGATTTCGAATCAACAAATTCTGGGGCTAATGATCTTAGAACACAAGCAAGTGCATAGCGGAATGGTTGCATGTCTTGAAAACTTTCAGGAGTTGTTGAGATTAGTCTAGTTGTCTCATCAATGAATTTAAGATATTGCAGACGGAACACTGGCTTCCGTGCTAGCATGCCAGGCCATATATTTTCTGCAACAGTACGATAAATATTTGCAATGTGGACACGAAGCTCTTCCCGACGAGCCTTTTGACTCTGAATAAAATATACATATATATTGTAAATGCCAAACTATAATTCAACCATCCAGGAGAAAAAACAACTAAAACAATAGTGTAACAAAAGCTTTGATAATTTCACAACGTAAATATGAATTATTATCTATAATATTGTTCAAATGTGCTGGAAAGGTTTTAAGAATTCATTATCTAATTTCTGTCACTATCATATTGTCCTTATCACTCATAATTTATGATAACTACCCACTTCAAGTCCTCAATGGCTGATAAAATTTCACCGATTCAAAACTATACCTTCCACTTTGGTTTTCCTTCTGTCTCAGAAGAAACTTCATCAATAAAAGATGAAAGTTCGCTGAACATGATTTCACATGCTTCCAAGTGTGAGCGGCCAAGAGCCATGGTCGCTGCATGCTATATCAGAAACCTTGTCAGCAATAAACAAAGACACCAAAAGTGATGACCAAAATGTTTTGCAGCAGAAATTTAAATGTCTTTATAAATGAAATTGTTGTTATTAACAGTCAATAATCTTCCTTATACCTCTTCCACATAACAATGGACTCGAAACTCGCAAATGTAAAGAGACCTTTTGTCAAACCTCACAAAAATTGTTTTTCAACAGGAACCAATAAAAGAAATGAAATCAAAATTCTGATTTTAATATTATCCACAAAATATACAAAACATTATGCACCAACCAAAAATCAAATGAGAACACGAATCCTATTTCTATTTCCATTTAGCATATAATGGGAATAAATAAAAACAGTTTTTGTTGGAAATGCACAAAGGTCAACATAATAATCAACCAGACATAATGTAAAATCCTTCATTTATCCCTTTACAGATTAAGCTTTTGAGATCGTTGGTTCATAACACATAATTTCTTAGGAGAAATAACAAAATTAAAGCATAAACTTCCTTTACAAAGATAGAGAATAGTTTATAAGTGTTTAATCATGATGTGGACCCGGTAAATTAGGTCAAACTTTAGACAGTTACCATTCTAAATACATCTCTTAACCTCCTACATCAATAAGAAATACAAAAGAAAACAGTGAGATCTCAACATAGGTTAAATGAAGAATTGGTAATTAATATTTAAAAGTAAAATGTTTTTAAACCTGTAACCAAGAAATCATATTTATAAGTTAAACAAACAAACATTATGACAGAGTAGCCTTTAGCCTGCATATCTTGCATCCGACTTTATCTTGAATTTCTTCATTCAAATTACAGACTTCATTGGTTTTTCTTACCATTCAGTCACTTGAGGAACTAAAAATAGTTTTTCATACGAAAAATATTAGAATATTGTAAAAACGACAAAGAACAAAAACTATTCTCAGATTGTTTTTTAATGATTTTGGTTTAGAAAACATGGAAACATACAAACAATACATCAAGCACGCATGCAACTCTTCATCCTTTGACATAGACTGCTTGAAAAGATAGACTAATTGACAAGTTAAGAGAGGCGCTCTTACAACATGAGCATCAGATCCAGATTTTAGTGAAGGGAAAATTAGAGAGTAAAGATCTTTGGTAGACTCTCGAGCAACTGGCGGACATGAACAGACAAACATGGCATACATAAGCCACTGGTCCAGTTTATTATCAATATCCTGCGACTGATGAGCTTTTCCACCCAATTCAGCAGGTGTGATATGAGTAAGACGTTGCATGACCTCTTTCCTGCCCAAATTTGAGTGATATTACCAAGTTTTAGATAGAAATTTAAAACAGACTGAATGAAGAGGGGTAGGGGGAGCAAAGCACGTGAGTAAAAATATTTTTTCCTCTTCTTCAAAATGATAATGATAAATCACTCCATGAAACTTTCTGTGAAAGATATGATTTGATCTTTAGTAATTAGGATATTCTCCATTACTATGTTTCCTTAATTATAATGATTATAAGGGATTTACATGTTTACTACACAATTCAAAACAATAGAAAAACTCTTAATGGTATTAGAGCTAAAGTTTCCTTTTCCTTTTCTTGTCTTTTTTATATCCGCAGTGTAATGTACATGCAGCCTGTTCAGGCAAACCACTGTAATCCTCCATTTACCACCATTGAGCCCTCCTTTCTTGGAAGAGCAGACACCACCAGAGTCACAGTCTCCCTGCAACCACCAACCATGCACAAATCTATGCCTAACTCCACCACATGCACTGCCTCTCTTTGGTGTGCCCATCTCAGATCACCACTGGACACACTGTTTTTTGGCAATCCAGCCCCAGTGACCTCCCCACCATGCTTCTACTTCTCTGGCAAACCACTATTAGGCATCTTTTGGCACTATTTGACACTGTATAACTTGATGGCCTCTTCTGATTTGGCTCGCGTGCAATCTCTCATGACTTCACCAACATACCGTTGATCCCATGCAAAATTGTTACTGATGAGATTAATATGACCTTGCACTGTTAGCCTGGCAAGTCAAGTACTAAAAGTTCCAAAATAAATATTATGAATATTTTAAGATTATATAAAGCAATGCCTTTTCCAATTAGAGGTTGTAGGCTACATATATCAAGTGACACCATCTTGTTCCATGAAAATGCAAAAATTATGTTAGTGTCCATGCCTTGTCTAACCTTCTTCTAAATATGTCCTTTACATCTTTGCTTCCCTTTGAGGCAGTAATGTTTCTCGTATTAACTTTTGTGAAGAAAACTGGATAGGACTAAGATTGTAGAAGAATGCCTTTTGAGGGAAGTTTTCCCAAGCCTCTATCTTCCAGTTTTGTACATGGGTCTCTTGCCATAATTTTTATAACCTTCAATGTTCCATTTTCCTAAAAGTCACTTTTCTCATACTTAATATTTAAATGACAGGGAATTATTTGAATTGGAGCATTATTGGATTTCATCAACTCCCTTCATTTGCCCTGCAACAGCATAAAAGGATATACACTCTTGGTCCTTTTATGGTGTTTTCATTCAACATCAACTTAAGGTATTAATTGTACTCTTGCTACCATGCTTCATTCTCTACTGTCTTTTTTTTAGCCCACTGTCACGCTTCATTCACTGTCTAAATTTCTATGTATGTCATAAAATTTAAGATTTCTTATCTCTTTCCATCAATTTGCAATGGGTGTATAGATTTTTTTTCTTGCTGGACCTCTTTGGAAAATATGTTTACTTCTTAAAATGTGAGTTTATGCATTCAATTCCAAAGAACTGGTTCATAAAGTGAGATTGTCTCCAGTTCAATATTCTATTCAGGCTCTTTCTCTAACCAAGATGGAATTTGGAGCTTTTCATATACACCTCTGCATACCCAACACTATTAGGTCAACTACGTGGATAACATGGTGGGTGACCCTTTCCAATAAATCTAGTACTAACCGTTTAAATGCAAGTTCTTGAACAAGGGGATGAAGATGCTCTTGTACCATATTAAGAAAGTAAAATTTAATCATAACCCAGCTCTACAAAACCGGATAAGATAAGATTTACAATCATATATTATAATTTGATCATACTTGTAGTTGGTGTAAGATCCCAAACACAACCACTTTGCATTGAGGACTCGACATCTCAAGCTTGACTAGGATAGGCTTTGAATGTCTTTGATACCAAGTGAAACTCTAGGGAAGAGAAAAGCACTAAGATGGAACCGTGTTTTTCTAAGACAGGATGGGTGTTTTTATTTATATTGAGAAAAAAAAATCAATACAGTAAGTGGAGGAGATTTGATATCCTCTAACAGCAAATATATGATACATGAATAAACAAAAAAAAGAATCCTAATAATACATATATAATCTAGATATTCCTAATTATATAGGATCAACTCCCTATTTCAATATTCTCCGAATTATATAGGAACAGCTCCTTATTTCTATGATTATAATAGTTTACAAATGCAATTTTAGAATTCCCTATTACTTAACATCATTACTTTGAAGGCTAGTAAATTTAATTACAGTTAATCTACAATGTAACAATACTTAATTACAATTTATCTACTATGTAATATTTAATTACAGTTATGATTTATCTAAGACTTTATTATCTTCCTGTGTTTTGCCCAACTTTTTTTCTTTACAGAAATAAGAACTTCAAAATTAAAGTTAAGTCGATTTGGTAATTTAGTTTTTTTTTCTTTGGTTAAATTTTATTTAAAGTTGGAATTTCAAGCAAAAAGAGTAGAAAAATTAACAAAATTAACTTTTCAAAAAACTTTCTTTAATATCTTGCCTCTTCACAATCCACATCCAGATGTGTGGTTTGTGGTCCTGGTTCAGAATTGGTTCCTCGTGCCTTCCTACAATGTTTGTCTACTGCCTACATACATAATAGGGCAGTAGTTTTGTTACAGGGGAGAGGCTAAACTTTCATGGCAATGTACATCTATGCTACTATATGGGCATTTAGTTGGGACATAATGCTCATACCTGAGAATAATACAAAGGATTTACAACGAATCTTAGAGTGTGAATTTCTCTCTGTTAGGATCTCATGTTTATAACAACTTTAGATACATCAGATACAATATATGAGGCAGAAGAGAAGAGAATTTGAAACGATATATCTAAGAACTAGGTGCAACACAATGGACATAGATAAATTGTATTTAAGACTATTTATTCTAACACTTCCCCTCAAGATGAAGCATACAAATTGTATGTGTCAAACTTGGAACAAATATATTCAATTTGAGATTCTCTCATGGATTTTTATTAGTACATCTAGAACTTAATCACTTGATCTGACAAACTAGATGCAAATTTCCTTGGACAACAACTTCTTTAGAATTAAATGACTATCAATTTCAATATATTTATTCCTCTGATGAACACTAGACTGGAAATAATGTGGAGAACAACTTGGTTATCACAAAAATTTATATTCTTGGAAGACTTATTTTACCCATATAAGCTCAGAGGTGAGGGATGTCGTTGCTCCATACTCAACTTCAGCAGATGGCTAACAAACAATATTGTATTTCTTACTTTTCTATGAGATAATATTTCCTCCTAGAAAAATACAACATCCTATGCTAGAGCGTCTATCCATAAGAAAACTAACACAATCAGTGTCGCAATATCCAAAGATTTGGGCATTCCCTTCATTAAGTAGTTCTAGTCTTGGAGCCTTTTTAAGGTATCTTAGTAGGAATGATAGCATTCCAATGATCAATACAAGGATTTTGCACGAATTGACTCAATGCCAATTGCAAAAGACAAATATGGCCTAGTAATAGCGAGATAAATAAGTTTTCTAATCAGTCTTTCATATATTTCTGTCAGAGGAAACTTCTCACTGTTCTGGCATTAATTTCTAATTTGGATTCATAAGACAATCCATTGGTTTACAATCAATCATTTCTGTATCTTTCTACTAAATATATTTAGCTCCACAATGTTTGGACTTCAGTGAATACAGAAAAAGGTAAAAGATATAGAAACTTACTTTGCTTCCTGAACAGAGCTTGGACAAAGTTCAGCAGCATATTTCACTAGCTCACTAAGACACCGAGCCCATCTGTTCTTGTCAGGGCTCTCAAATATTATAGATTGAAGTGTCACTTCCGAAGGAATGGCATCAGGTTCTCGTTTTAAATCGAATGGTCTCCCGGAGTCCCAATAGCAGTTCTGAACAATCTCATCCTGCAATGCCAAGGTATTTACATCTTTAAGGGGACCAAGGCTTA